CGCGCGGGGCCTGGCGGTTCCGCGGCTGTCTGGCCCCGGCCGGGGCCTTGTGCCGTGAGCCCGGGGCTCGTCTGGCCTCGTAACCCCCCCCAGTGACACCCCTCCTCCCCGCCGCGCCTTGCAGCTCCCGCGTGGTGGAGATCCAGTCGCAGATGTCAGAGCGGGCTGTGGAGCTGCTGGGGCTGCCCGAGGACCGGCCGTGCCTCCTGCTGGACGTGGGGTGAGAGGGGCGACCCTGCCGCCGCGGGGTCACCGGCTACACGGTCGGGCACACGGGGGCTTGGCCCGTGGGCACCGTAGCAGGGGATGGTGCCTGGATGCGAGAGACATCCTGGTCCTGTGACCCTGGTTTCTCTCCACTGTGGTCTGGGAAGGAGGGGCAGGTTACTGTGACCATGTAGGTGATGGGGATTGCCCTTGGTTGGGGCTGGTTGTCTCTGTGTTGTTACCCCTTTCTCCCTTTAGCTGTGGCTCTGGGCTGAGTGGTGATTACGTCTCTGAAGAGGGGCACTACTGGATTGGCATGGACATCAGCTCTGCTATGCTGGGTAGGTAGACCCTCTGCCCTGCAGCCTTCTGTGCCACCAGAGGTGTTCTGCAAAGGTGTGAGCTCGTACCCTGAGTTGTCCTTTGTTCTGTACAGACGTAGCCCTGGAGAGGGAGGTGGAAGGAGACCTTCTCCTTGCAGATGTGGGCCATGGCATTCCCTTCAGGCCAGGCATATTTGATGGCTGCATCAGGTGAGTTTGTGCACATAACTGAGCTCTTTTGGTACTTTGTGTAGCTGTGCTACCTATTCTGCACAGTATACAAAAACTACGTGTCATGCATACCGGAGTACGCGTCTTTTTTATCAGTTGCTCTTCTTGTTCCATGTGACTTGGCTCCAGCTCTCTGGAACAAGCTGCTGAGATTCTGGATTGTAGAAGCAGCTTCCAGCAGCTGTTCCCCGCTGATGCTTGTCTTTTCTTGTGGTGATGGGCTAGGAAAGCTTACTGAGATAAATAAAATAGGGGATTGTGTCTGGAGGTGTGAGACCTGCTGCTAGGAGAAAAATATAAAGTATATTTGTACCATGCTCATCTATGAGGTCAGTCAGTGGACGAAAGTTTTGATGGTTCGTTTTGGGATGAGGGGCTAGGTGGAGGAAAAAGAAACACTTTTCTGTTTAGAGAATACCCCATAAAAATGATGGGATGGAGTAGAGACCTTCTGTTACCTAACTGAATGCTCTGTTTGGGACTGCTCACTGGCAAAATGTGCATGAGCTGTTTGTGTGAATCAGGGTCACAGCCAAGCACTTCAGTTATTTGAGCATCTGACCTAAAAGAGATGCTTGACGTTTCTGTTGGGCTTGAATCGCTACTGTGTTTTTTTGGGTTTTGGCATGACTCAGTGAGTCTCCAGAGAGATTTATGTAGCACCTTTACTGCAAAATAGAAGGCAAACTATATGAAGAAAATGAAATGAACTGGGGCTGGCCAGGCCCAGCAAATGCTCGATGCTGAAAAAAGTTTGAAGGGAGGGGACAGGCTTTGCTAAAGAATTGATGGCTCAGTGTCCTGGAGGTCTCATGTTTTGTCTTAGTATTTCTGCAGTGCAATGGCTTTGTAATGCTGATAAGAAGTCACACAGTCCTCCAAAACGCCTTTATCAGTTCTTTTCAACTCTTTATACTGCCTTGGTAAGTGCTGTGCTGTCTCAGCCAGGCATCTAGCTACTTTTACATCCTCACTAGTGCATTTTAGCAAGACATTTTGCAAGTCCAAGTTACTGAAATCTAGGACCAACAGGAGTATCTGCTTCCCATCTCCTTTCCTGCCTGCATGGTGTCCCTCATTTCCCTATTCCCTGCTCCCTGCATCAGCACTGTTAGCCCTGTGCCTTGCTGTGCTAGCAAGAAGCTGGCTCTGCAGGCTGAGCAGCTCACCTGGGACTTTGGGTCCAGCAGGTTTTGGGTGAGGTGGATGCTTATATCTGGGCTGGGAATTGGATTCCTTGGGGGGAAGCCTGTACTGAGATAGGTTTGTGACTTTCTTTCCTGTAGGCCCGAGGATCCCGAGCTGTCCTGCAGCTGTACCCTGAGAACTCAGAACAGGTACAGGATGTCAGTCATTGGGGAGGAGGGATGGGCAGAGCCAGGGAGAGGAGCTATTTGCTGTTTGAGGCTCAGAATTTGTCATTTTTCCTGAAGTGTAGTGTATTTCTCGTTCCTTCTTGCCAACAGTAAAGCTCTGCAGGGAGCCAAAAAAAGACCCATAAGCAGAATGCCCCACACAATTCCCATTGCTTCACAGACTGCCTTGTGCTAAGCCTTAAAATCAAATGAGTTGGCAGGACATGATCTGAATTTGCTGTGCTGAACTTTCCCTTGTGTGACTGGGGTTGAAAGCTAGGCTCTAGTTATATATGCTGCACCATAACTCCCCAGGGCTGGATAGTCCAGCCCAGCGTTGCCCTCCTAGAGATTCTGCTGTTTCAGTTAGACCAAGCTAGACTAAGGAGCGGGGAGAGACAAAATAAATGCTGCAGACTGTGTCTGAGTCATACTGGAGAGCTAGGGGTTTGATGTAGGGGTTGTTACAGGAGCGGGACAACCCCTTCTTAGGGTGTGCTGTTAGTTGGCGCTGAGCCCGGAGGTGTCTTGTGCATCACCGCTGGATGACGGCTCAATAACTTCTGTACATGCTTCCTTTTCTAGCTGGAGCTCATCACAGCCCAAGCCATGAGGGCTGGCTTTACTGGGGGAATGGTGGTAGATTACCCCAACAGTGCCAAAGCTAAGAAGTGAGTCCTGTTCTGTTTTGTATGGGGTTTTGGGGGTGTGAGCCCTAGGTCCAGCATTGATTTTTTCCAAGCTGTTTTTCTCTCTTCCATGTCCCTGTCCTGGGCAGAGGTGACAGCTTAGATCTGACTCTGTTACATGTGATCTAGTTTTGTTTGGAGACTCGGAATCACATGCTGAATCCTGGCTTCATGCTGCTCTTCTCATTCTTGCTCTTTCAGGTTCTTCCTCTGTCTCTTTGTTGGGGCATCCAGCACGTTACCAAAGGTGAGGTGCTCCGCCAGGCAGTGGAGATGCATCCCCTCTCCCCTAAGGATCCTGAGCACTGGAACAGGTTGCCCAGAGAGGTTGTGCAGTCTCCTTCCCTGGAGATATTCAAAACCCACCTGGACACGATCCTGGGCAATGTGCTCTCAATGACCCTGCTTGAGCAGGAGGGTTGGACTAGATGATCTCCAGAGGTCCCTTCCAACCTTGGCCATTTTGTGATTCTGTGATTCCTGGCTGCTGGGCGATATGGAAGAGCTGTGGGTAAAGGGAATTCACAGAGTGGGAGCCAGACACATGCAAACATGACTTTATTCATGTGCTTGCTGTTGGTCTCACCAGCCCTTGCCCTCCCCAAGGTCCAGTTTCCTTGTGACAATTGCTGGAAGATCAGTTTGCTCCCGTCCCAGTCTGTCCCCTGCGTTCTCTTCTATTTAGATGGCAGTGACCATTAGCTCTGTCTGCTCCAGATGAGAAACTTGTTGGTTTTGCTTTTCAGGGCCTTGGTACTGAGTGTGCTGATGAAGAGATACACCAGGCAAAGTTCACAAATGAAAGGTATTGTGTGGGGCGGAGTGGTATATCCTCTCCCCAAGGAAGAAGTGTAGGGGCTGCATAGGGGCTGGGTTTTGCTGAGTGAGGACGAGGGTACTGCCACTGTGAAATGGCTGAAGGGAAGGGACTAGGGGCCCTAGGAGGATCCTTAGCAGCCTGGAGGGGCAGTGCTTTATGACATTGAAGGGCCCCAGACACGAGCCTGTCTAGTTTGACTGGAGAGCTCAGCCTTGGCATTGTGTGACTGAATCATGGTGTTCCTATTGGAACTGCAGCTAAGCGTTCAGTCTGAGGTGTGCTTTCTGTCCAGCACTCAGCTTGCCAGCTCAGTGCTGGAGCGTAGGCATGTGGTGGTGGGATGAGGAGTGTCTACAGTGGCCAACCATTGCTTTTTTGTCAAGGAAGCAGGCTCGTGTGCCTGAAGCCCAGCGTTCCCTTCCTTCCACTGTCAAATTCTTCACTGTCAGACTGTTGTGAGCTGTGGCCTGGGGTTTTTTCTCTTGCTGGCCAGGTCTCTTCCCATGACAGTGGTGCAGGGAAGCACTCCCCTTGCAGCCAGTGGGAGAGACGGAACAAAAGCTAGAGGAAAGTCGTCGTGGCTGCCAGGAGTTGGTGGCTGCCATGTTTTCCTGCCTCTTACAGTGCTCTGCTCTGCTCTACCCCCTCTGGTCTGGGGGGTACCTGGGCTTGGAGGGGAAGGGCAGAACTGGCAACTTGTTCAGAAGCTAGATGCTTCATCTGCTTGTTCAGACTAGAGCGGACAAGGGAAAGGCAGCTGCGCTAAGCCCATGTTCCCCAGAGATCCCAGAGCCTAGCATGCTGCAGCCTGTGGAGGACAGATGCCCTTTGCTCAGAGCTGGTGCTAGCAGCAGCTTAGTACCTGCACTGCTGCCATTTGCCTGTGTATCTGGAGCTGGGCTGTTTGTTGGCCACCTGTTCCAGCTGCTTCTTCCCATCCTCTGGAGGAATGGGTTGTGAGTTGTCACTATTCCTACAGAGCAGAGGACAAGATGAGTTGTGAATGGGAATCCTCCAGGCTGCAAGAGTGTGTTTCTCCCACCTCAGTTCCTGCTCAGCTCCTGTTTGTTGTCTCTGTAGGACACGGTTCAGAAACGTCAAGGGCAAGTCTGTAAAGAAAAGCCGGGACTGGATCCTTGAGAAGAAGGAGCGCAGACGACGGCAGGGCAAGTAAGTTCAGCCAGGTCCTGCCTCAGCTGAAGCTCTGGCTGGCTGTGCTGGTCTGGCCCACTGTCACCCATTCAAACTCCTCTGCTATGAGCCAGCTTTCCTTCCCCTCCAAGAATGAGCTGTGGATTGCACTCAGTGCTCTGCACTTTTCTTCACAGGGAAGTGCGAGCAGACACGAAATATACAGGTCGAAAGCGCCGCCCTCACTTCTGAATTGTTACGGACACTGCTGGAACAGAAGATGGAGTGTTGGCCCCCACAGTGAGCCTCCTGTGGATGGCGCAGATTAGCACCCCTGGACGCAAGACCGGCCAGGACAGGTTCTTGCGGCCCTTGTGGGGTGAAGGCTGGCAGGTGCTGCCTATCCTTCAATTGCTAAACTTCTAGGCCTTTTTTCCCAGGGAAGGCAGAGTGATGGACAGTGCTTTGGCCACTTTGTCCCAGGCCATTGCTTACCTTCTTGAGATGGCAGCAAGCTGTCTGGAGCTCCAGGTGAGCTAGGACATTGTACCCAGCCTCCTCACTAAACAGTCAATGCGTTACGGTTGTTGCTACTCTCGTGTGTCCTGGCCTCAGTACAGGGAGTGGGAGATGAAGGTGGAAAAACAGCACCTGCTTTACTACCAGCTTCTCCCCTGCCAGCAGGCAGGTAGCTAGATCTTATGAAGGTTTGCGTCTCTTGAGGGCCAGGCATACCCTCTTCCAAGTTGAAGGGGGGAAATGTTACCTGAACTTTCCTGGGATTGTTCCTCCTACTTGCACCTCCGTTCAGGCACACCATGGGTGCCTTCGTGCCCTAACTGGTGCTGAGGTTCTCCACACCCCATCCCTGATCCCCATCCCCTCCTCCGTTCAGCTGAAACATGAGATGTACCAGCCAGAGCTTTACAGTTACAAATGTTTATTCTACATAAAAATCCCACAAAACGGGAAGCTGTTTTGCACCCAAAGCTGTGGGAGAAGAAAGGAGGCTAGCAGGGAGAGAGGATGAAGGGGAAAAGAGGCAACATACAGTGTCATCTAGCCCAGTGAGACAGAGCAAGCCAGGGTCACGATCCACATAGAAAACAAGGACACTTAGCTCACAGTACAGCAACGGTACAATTCCACGGGGGGGGCTTAGAAAGCCTTCAAGTACATTAATTACAAAAAAAAAAAAATCCCCAGTTCGAGTGCAAGCTGTGCGTGCCCCACACTGCTCGTGGAATACTGCATCAAGACACGCTCCCGGTGCTGGGAGGGCAGGTGGCACTTGGAACAGAGGCATTGGGGGGGGCAGTCTAGAAAGAAAAAGTGAACTGTTTCTCCAAAGCACAACCACGCTGTTGGTGATTTGGTCTGTACATGCAACAGGCAGGTAAAAAGGAACTGAACGGGGCTTCCCGTAGTGCAGGGGTAATTATTGCACCAAAACACCCTTCCCTCATAGCGAGGACAGTGTGAGCTGGCCTACAGGGGCAGTGATGGCAGCATGCTCATCCAGCTCCCTTCTGTCAGAGCCTGCAGCCATGCTGCATGTGAGATCCCAGTGCTGTTGGCAGAATTTGGGGCTGTGGCCCAGCTCGGCCCCTGGTTGCTGGCTGCTGAAGGTGATGGTATGGTGAAGGACAGAAAAAAAGCCAC